GAACTAATAAAACAGCCGCCAGCTGCGGACCACTAGCGATCAAGCAGTGGAAATTCAAAAAAAAAAAAAAAAAAAAATTTTTCTTTAATAATTTTTGTTTAAAGAATTTAAGTAAATGAAGTTAATAGTAAAAACTTTTTTATTTAATAGTTTATAATTTTTAAAAAATTCAAAATAGTCTTATAACTATTCAATTTTTATATTTCTTTTTATTTATTCTTTTCTTATTTTTTTTTTTATTTTTTTATAAAAAAACATTGTCAATTTAATATTATCTTATTGTAAGGCAATGATTGGATAAGTTCTCTAAATATAGTATTATATTTAAAGTAATAATTGATTCTTATTATTAGTTTTATCTAATTAATACAACCAGATTGTCTATAAATGTTTATAAAATAATTATAAGATGTTAGCATTGACATTTAGGTTTTAAAAGCACTTACTTGTAAGGATGTAATGACTTTTATTTTCTATATAAAATTAATGACAAATGATTGGTTAACCTTCGAAAATTATCATGAATTTTCCTCATTTTTTGTCTCAATCTTACTCGCATTTTATGTTCGTTGAAATTTTTTCCAGAAGGTAAACTATCGAATAGAATGATTTGGCCTAAATTTGATCAATTATTATATATCCTATCATAAAATCGACTAAGTCGATTTTTTGAAAAAATCGGCTGACTAAGCTGATAAAATCGACCAAAGCAACTCGACTATAAACACTAATTGCAAGTCGTAAAATAAAGTTTTATGCATTTATTTAAAGAATTTTATTGATTAAATTATTAGACTCAAAAGAATGGTAGTTTTTCTTGGAGTCGGCACCTAAGTTTTTTTGATTCTCAAGTTGATTCAGAATGATTCAGAATTTACATACGTTGCGTGTCCACTTACCACATATACAGTAGATTCGTATGTATCTTTTTATTATTTAAATGTTTCAAGATTTCTGAAAGTTCACCATTACCTCAAACTGAACAAGGTGTTTATCTTGAACTCTATTTATATACATTGTGTTATTGAATTTAAATAAAATAGTATAAATCCGCCAATTTATTTCAATTAATCTAGCATAATTATTATTGGTCGACCTTATTAATTGCATATTCTCGACTTAATTCTACTTAGACTTGTCGATCCAAGGATTGAACAAAATAAATAATATGTATAATGAAGCAATTGATGTAATTAAACTTTTTTAATGAAGTAATAAAAAAAAACTACATAAATGACAGCCGTACGTTCATGCATGTAAATTCATGTACTGTATTCTGTATTTTTATTATCAGTTATGTGATCGATATTTGAATCTAATTCGACAACTTAGTATTAATGAACCATGTGTGTGAACCAAAGTTAAAATTACAATAACGATAAACAGTATAATTTATCATAGTGCATAACGCCTTATGCAGTTGTGGGGGAAAATCTTTGCGGCGTTATTGTCGAATGGTAGTTATTCGAAATTTTAAGCTAATCTTTGTTTTTATGATCATTTGTTTGAAGTAAGGTAATGGTATATATATATATAATCATTTGTTTTTATAATAATTAATCGAAACTCATGTTAGAAACAAAATTTTTAAATTTTGGTCAATGGTTTAGAATTTATGGTTATCTATTATTATCGTTATTATTATTGTCTTTTTAGTCCTACATAATCCTAATATATCCTAATACTGTAATATATCCTAATATATCCTAATATAATGAAGTATAACGATAATGGTTAATTTTGTGACCAATAAAAGGTACAATGTAAAATATAACAAAGTAACGGTAAGTACCAAGAAATTTTTTTATCCACATAAAGGCTTACGATCTTATAAGTACCTTCAAATTCATTTTGTCTTACAGTTGTAAATTATGTATATCAAAGATGTCTTTGTAAATTTTTTTTTTTTATAAAGCATTACATTTTAATATAAATGTTAAAATATATATGTTATGCCTCAAATCGATTTTTGCCTCAGGTGATAACTGTGGCACCTCAGGTGTTGACTGTATGGCCGGCATTAATTGATCGACATTAATTGGCCTAATCCTTACCCTAACTCTAACTCTAATTTAGGCACAACATATATGTACTAACCTATTTGCAGAAACTTGGTCTCGTGTTTCAGATAATCCAAGTATATACTGCGAAATTGACGATAGATTGCCCATTATGGTTTACTTCATTTAGAAAAAAGATTTGTTAAAAGGAATTATATAATTTAAAATATATAATTTAAAAAGCAAGTATTTTATAGTTTCTAAGTCAAGAAACGTAATTGAGAAAGCTAGGGGAAGAATGTGTTTGAACGTGATACCCATTGGGTTTTCCTACAAATGAATCTTCGGTTATCTGTGTGACTATGCCAAGTTCAGTCATGGATTACCCATCCGTGCGCTTGTAAAAATTACTTTGTCCAACGAACGTGTGTGACTGAATCCTGTGGTCTTGTGCAAGTATAAAAGTATAACCTTTCTGGTTTTAACTGCAGTATCGGTTTAATTTTTAAAATATAACTTCTAGAAAAAAATACTTATCATTGATGGAAACGCGTGAAAGTATATTAGCCACCTATGGCATTCCAATGCCACTTTCACGAACTTCACGAAATTCAAACGGAGGTCCTCCTAATCGAAGAGCTACGTCAGGTACCACTGATAGTCGTACTAGCAAACGATATTCTATGACTATGCTCTACTCAATGGCCGCTGAACAAGATGTTGAAGTTGAAGATGATTTGGCCAAAGGTATAGTAACGATTGAGTTGGAGGAACTTTAATATATGCTATTTGCTCAAATTCATATGAGGTTAGAACATAAAAAATTATAGCTTGAGCCTATTGTCTGTATATTCACGATAGATTTTTAGTCAATTGGTTCTAAAAAAAAAAAAAAAAAATATATATATATATATACATATATATATTAAAAATAAGAAAATTTCAATGTTTTAAAACTATAACTCGGAATGATTTGGTTCTTTTTTTTTTTTTTTCTTTCCCTTTTTTTTTTTTTTTTTTTTTTTTTTTTTTAAAAAAAAAAAAAAGCTCAAAAACGGTTACGAGAATTAAAAAGCAGAATATCAGCACAATCGAAAAAAAATTTCGTTCTGGAACGAGACGTTCGATATTTGGACTCTCGGATAGCGTTATTAATTCAAAATCGCATGGCGTTAGATGAGGTATGTTACTATTCAAAAATAATTATTATAATTATCATAATTATTATAATTACTCTTAATTTCATATTCTTTGTATCATTTATTAATGTTCCCAATTTTTGTTCACTCGTTAAATAAATGCGTATAAATAATAGAAGCAGGAGGTGGAAAGTCATCTTGAAGACATAGAGCCATTAGATGGATTTTTTCCAGATGATCGTAAATTACAACAATACGGAAATTTATTTTTTCTCCTTCAGACGGAACCGCGTCACATTGCTAATCTATGTCGCCATGTTAGTCTCACCGAAATCGATACCTTACTACAGACGGTAATGTTTACGCTGTATGGGAATCAATATGAGAGTAGAGAAGAACATTTACTGTTGACGATGTTTCAGGTGAATAAATTTAATCCTAATAATTTTAATAATTCTTAATAATTATTATTAATTTTAATAATTATTATCAATTTTAATAATTATTATCAATTTTAATAATTATTATTAATTTAACTAACTCCTATTAATTTTCAATAATTCTAACAATTAATTTGATAAACAGTCGGTGCTTTCCAATCAATTTGAGCAGATAAGCGATTTCAATTCGTTACTTCGAGCAAATACCCCTGTCTCTCGTATGATGACAACGTATACCCGTCGGGGTCCTGGTCAGAGTTATTTAAAGTCAGTGCTATCAGAACGAATTAATAATCTGATAGAACACAAAGATTTGAACCTTGAAATAAATCCTCTAAAAGTAAACTTTTTAAATTTTCTCTTTTCATACATTTATATTGTTAATTTAAAGTTATTAAAATATTTTTATTGATTTATTATTTTTTTTTAGGTTTATGAACAAATGATAAAAAAATACGAAGAAGAAAATAAACCATTACCTGATAATCTTCTTCCCAGTGTAACGTCAGAAGTTGCTGCTGCAAATCCCGATGTGCAGGCTATTATAGCCCCACGAATAAAAATGTTAATGGAGATTGCAAATTCTTTCCTCCAAACAATAATGGACTCTATCGAACAGACTCCTTATGGTATACGATGGATTTGCAAGCAAATTCGGTCATTAACAAAAGTAAATTAATTTATTCATTTTCGCTCCTTTCTTATTCGTTTCGGTATATCTTTTGCTGATTGTTTTATTATTATTATTATTATTATTATTATTATTTGATTTATTTAGAGAAAATATGTTGATTGTTCAGAATATGCCATCTGCACATTAATCGGTGGATTTTTCTTCCTCCGGTTTGTGAATCCGGCAATTGTTACTCCGCAAGCATATATGCTAGTAGAAGGTATACCGGGGAAGTACCCACGACGGACATTGACTCTGGTATTTATGTATTTTGATTTCATTCTAGCATTTCTAATGATATATTCTGATTGTTTTTTTTTTCATTATAAGATTGCAAAAGTATTACAAAATCTTGTAAACAAACCAACTTATTTGAAAGAAGAATACATGATTATGTTAAATCCTTTTGTTGAAAGTAATAAACAAAGACTAAATAAGTTTTTAATGGAACTATGTGAGGTCGGCGATTTTTATGAGAGCTTAGAGGCAAGTTGCAATGACAGAAAGTTTATTAAAAAAAATGGTGTAATGTATTTAATTACGTTTGTTCTTTTTAACTTACGTTTAGATGGATCAATACATGGCTCTTTCAAAAAAAGATCTGGTTATTAACATAACGCTGAATGAAATTTACAATACACATGCTTTACTTGTACAACACCAGGAAGAACTGGTAATTTGTAGTTTGTGGCATCTTTTGTTTAAAAAATGACTATTAATTATTTTTTTTTACAGGCTGCTTCAGAAAAAAGTCACCTGCGAATGCTTTTGGAAGAAGTAGGTCCAGCACCACCTCAAGTTTCTAGAAAAGAAAATAAGACAGTAGAGCTCCCTCTGTTTAGTCGATGGGAAACTCCTATACAAGGTCAATATAGTTTACTAAAGGATTTACATTTTTTTTTTTTTGATTAACACTTTTGTTTCATTTAGACCTTGCCACAGCTCTTTTATATGATAATAGTGTAACACAAAATGATATTTTATATATGGAAACTAAATCTATATTTGTGCAAATTATTCGTTCCACCCCAAAAATGACTGAACAGCGATCAATAAATCTTCACCAGATTGCCGAGACAGCAGCAACTAGCAAAGACGCTACTTTGGTTCGTAAAGGTATCAAAGTAAAAGACATGCTTCGTGAGCTTGAAGATGCATCTGTCATAGATCCTAAAGATGGGTACCGACTCATGACAGAAGAAGTCACCCAAGAATTAGCACATCTTGGTAATCTACGTGAAAAAGTCACTAATGAGATTCAATCACTTGAATCTGTATATAAGACTATATGTGATCATAATAATTATCTTCGAAGTCAGTTAGATAGTTATAAAGCTTATTTACAAAATGTTAGACAGCAAACTGTAAAAGATAGTGCTGGTGGTTTTGGATCAAGCATTATTAAAGTAGGAGATAAAGAAAAGAAACCTACAAAACACAAAGCTTTGGGTCCATATAAATTTACACATACTCAATTAGAGAGAGATGGAATTATTGTGGAAAGCAATGTTCCAGAAAATCGGTCAGTTTTGTTCTCAATGTTTCATATAAATAGTCTAAAAATTAAATTTTATTTTTATTATAATTGCAGACGGCAGAATATTTTCTTTGTTATCACTTCGCCAATTCCGGGTACATTCATCATCGCACTTCATTACAAAGGGCGTGACGCTGCCATTTTAGAAATGGATCTCAAGTTAGATGATCTACTAGAAAAGGTAACATTTTTCTACATTAACAATTGACGATGCTTAACATTTTAAATATTTAAAAAAAAAATTTTTTTTTTCTTTTAAATAGCAACAAGATAATGTTGTGTCTTTGGACCTCGAATATGTACAGCTTAACGTGAGCAAAATATTATCTTTGCTCAACAAGACATTTGCGAAGCGAAAGACGTAGTTGTACATCAAACTTCTCTGTCTGTTGTTTGCTTTAATGTAAATTTATTACTTATGCTTTATTTATTTTGATTCTTTTTTTTCTTTTTATTTTTTACGTTTAACAGGGATACTTTAAGTGCATGGGGCAAATTGTGCTTCCCCTCCTGCGTACAATATCCTGTTAATGGATGAAATACAAATGGGTTCACAGAATAAAACGCCTAGGATAGATCTAAAAACTCGGATAACACAATATTTTGTCACAATGGATATTATTAAATTCATTATTGTAATCCGACATTAATTTATCGTTCTTTTTTTTTACCTGATTACCCGATAAACTTTAAACATATTAATCTCCTAATTTTATTCGATGTACTTTTTTTTTGTGATATAATAATAATTTATATAAATCAATGAAAAAAAAATTTTTTAATAGATTAACTTGGCGTTTATTTTATGGACTGGGGAGGCACGATTTGCCTTTAGAACTGTATTTATTAACAAAAAGGAACACATTATCATTTTTTTACATATATATGCGTACATTTCATTATTTATTTCACTCAGCATTTTTTTTTTTCTCTAATGTGGAATATAAACCTTTTATTTATCGAAAGGTTTTAAAGTATCTAGGTAGTTAGTCCCGGAATCTGATCAGCACATGACATTAAACATGTAAATTAAATTATGAAACATCTTGCAATTAAGCATTTAGGTTAATTATTATTTTGTACCTTTTTTTTATCGGTAATTATTATTAAATCTAGAAATTTTAATCAAACATATGTTATACAATTTATAAAATAGTATACTAGTATTTGTAATTTTATCATATCATACAGTCAGATATATCGATATATATACGTATACGTACGTATCTTCGTATAATTTCCAAAATTAGCTGATATGTACGTGTATAAATAAACGTAATGATGGTAAACTGTTAAATGATTATTTCTGTTGTGATTAATCATTTAACAATAACTCTGTGTACGGAATTAGTGCTTTTTTTCCGGTAAATCTTAAGTACGTACGACAATAACGGTAACGTGTAATACCTTATTTCCGACAAGTTTTTTTTTCATATAAATATTATATAAAAGGCTATTTTTGGAACATCGTGTTTATTGTTATGTACGTATGTCGATATACGTACCGATACATACTTCCGTTATATCCAATAAAAATATTTTTATTGTGTACTGACATGTGCCCGAAACTATTTTGGATTATTCGAAACCAGTTACTACATAAGTTTTAATCATTTTCAACACAAACAAAAATGCATAGTACTGACCCGATTATGATTGGTGATAAATTTATTATTTAAATAAACTTTGTCGTCCTTTTTTTTTAATTCATAGGCAGTTAGATATTGTCAATTAAACTAGTGAAACTAAATTAATTCATGTTCAAACTATATCATGTTAAACTTGCGATAGAACATATGTGAATTGGTGAGTAAATGTTAAAGTCAGTAAATTACCTTAATTATTGCAGTATAGGTGTAGAAATATGCTGGTGCCGTAATTGATCTTAACGTTAATTGGGCGTGTGCTCTAATAGTTAATGCCCTAACATTTAATGTATGCCATACGTAACATCCTGACGTGTATGTACTAGTGCTGCAAAAATCATTGAATTAGAGTTTCAAAATATGTCGACAAATTTTTTTTTTTACTGTAAGCTAAACTTTTTTATAACAAAACTAATTCGAATTTTTAATTATCTTTAAACATATAGCATTGATACAGATTTACGTTATTATATTTTAAATTATACATTACGATTTATCAATAAAATAATAATAATAATTTGAAACATATTATTCGGGTTTCATTATATTGTATATATGTATATATATATCATAATGTTTTATAAGTAAATAGCTTTATAATTTGATAAAATATATCATTGTGAAATTCAGGTCTTTATAATCTAATGCTTCTGGGTAGCTTCTGGGTTCAAATTTTATTTTATTTTTTTTTAACACATGAACCTTTCTACAATAATATTTCTAAAAATTCTAAGAAAATTAACTTGATAAATAAGATAAATTTTTTTAAAAAATAAAAATAGATTTAGGCCACAGAAAATTGATTGATTTTTTTATTAGAAATTTTTTATATATATTTTAATAGCCAAATGGGTTTTAAAAAAAACTTTTTTTTTGAAAATTTAAATACCGTGGATAACTGATCACGTCTATTTAAAAGTCTCACATTATGAAAACCAAGATATTAAAATTGTATATATAACCTTATTTTATTGTATCTAAAATTATAAAAAATATATCTTTAATTATATTTTGTATATATCGTGTTTCAGTTTAACACTTGTGTAAGATTGTAGCTAAGAATATAAAAAATTTGATTCTAGTTTAATAGTATTCTATTTGTGTAATTTTATTTTTATTTATTTATTTATTTATTTATTTTTTTAAATATTAAGGTGAGTACTTGTGACTCAGGATTTTATTAATAGTACATTCAGCTAATGGTTGCATTACAATCACAGGAGGCAATCATGGAAAGAGTGTACAACTAGCCACTCATACAACTTTAGTCATTATCTAATTTAAGTAGTCCACTTGAAGGCTCTACACTAGCTGTCATACCTGAAACCTACTTATAAGTTCCCTATTTAATCACTCTGTTCCCATATTCACCCACCTACCTACACCTACCAAGATGTCCTGGTAGATACTGGTACAAATATGTCATGGTCACTAAGTCTTTAAAACAGTTCACTCACATGGGGAACCTTTAACCTTGTACTAAAACTTCCAGAATCTTCTATATCCCATTCTTATAACTGATCTGGTATCACTATGACTGAGATCAATACTGGTAGTCAGGGTATATTATTTAACTGTTATGTTCTTGTAGAATTTACCCCAATCCTGGTACTGACTTCACAATATATCTCTATTATTTTGGTATTCAATTCAAGTTTCACCAAGCTTTCAAACCAGATAATTCAGAAAAGTTAGTTGTAACCATACACCTTTGGTTTACATGTTTGTCAACATGTAACCTTTTCCTCTGGAACCTAGAAATTCTGGCAGCCTGGTTGGTTCCATTTGGCCTCTTCTTAAAGGTCAGCTCTTTGCCTAGTTTCACAAGTTCTAGCTTCATTTTATAGGTCTAGTCTTTACAGTAGCATTATCAAAAGTTCAAGTTATCTTTCTAATTAGGTCTTTCAAGTAGGCTTCTGTTTTTCTACCTGGTTCCCATAATTTACATGGCCTAAGGACTTATCTTAGGTTCATACCACCCAGTACCGGTTTGTGTTCCTTCATATAATATTACACAAATGCCTAGACCTTTCAGTTAGACTGGTATAATACAGGTTACAAGTATCCTATCTCAACCAATCATGAAAGACAGTTAGTCATAACACAGAAAGAATTGCAAATTTTGGGATTTAAACTCTAGACCTGCCACTTGGAGTTGACAACCTATTCATTTCACTAGGTCGCCACACCCCTTTGTGTAATTTTATTATTAGTATTACTTTATATATATTATTATATTTGTATATTATTGTATTTTAACAAATAGATTTAAGAGCCAACTATAATAATCAATATTATTCCTTAATCTATAGATTTTTTCAGAAAAATTATTAAAAATATGCTTATAATCTACTTTTTTAAAATTTAAATATTTAAATAAAATTTTATTTGATAATATTTAAAAATAAAAATTATATTATAGAAAAAAATTTTAATTAAAAAAATTATTTACAAATTTTTAATAAATTCTTAAATATTAATTTTAAATCTATAGTTCTTAATATAATATTTTAATTTATATAAAGGATAATAATTTTTTATTAATATCACTTTTGTAATTTACTTATAAAAATTTAAATTTGTACAAAGTATAAAATTTTTTTTTAACTTCAGAAACATATGAAATCTTAAAAAATTTTGAAAAATATTTAATAATAAAAAGTTTTAAATAGAATTTTTAAAATTTTAATATATAAAAGTTTATTAATATTTTAAAAAAATTATTATAATAAAGTTTATAAAATATGTTCTTAAGAATATATTTTATAAGCAAAATATATTCTATATAATTAATAAATTATTATTTTATTTAAAAAATACTAAATACAATTTAATTTTCTAGACAAATTTGTTTAGAATATAATTTAAGAAATAACTAAAACCAATATTTGCAATTTAGCAATACTTGTTTCTCTATTTCTCATCTTACTTGTCAATTATCAAATTCATATCTATTTAGACAGTTTATCTACTATTTAAATACTCTCAAACACATTACTCTACTACTACAACTTACAAACCAAACAAAATAATTAAGATATTATCCATATACTTAATTATTTAATAAACCTCAAAAAAATCAATTACACTATACATAAAGTTAAATCATATTTAAAAAATACTTTACACAATATAACCAATTCTTTTGCTAAACAAAGTATCAACAAAACTAAATTAAAATTTAATCTTAATCACTTCTATTTACTTACTTATTTTTCTTAAAAAGAAATTCCAATTATATACAAACTATATAAATTCTATAAAAACTTAATCTTAATTCAAACATTTAACAAATTTCTTTAACTCAAATCATTATAAAATCTTTTGACTATATAAATTTTATTATTAACTAAAATTATTAACTTTCAAAACTCCAATCTCAAACTATATTCTATTAGAAACAAAATACTTCTCAATAATTTACCTACAATGTTAAATCTAAATATCTGTTATTCTTTTCTTTATTTAATTCCAAATTGCTCATATTGTAATCAATATGAAACCATTGAACACTTATTTTAATGCTTACTTTATTTCTACAACCCACAAAACACTCTTACTAATAAAATCTCAAATGCTTTAAACTCTTTAAACCTTACAAAAACTTTACTAAATACAATAATACAAATTCTTACTATACAAAATACTCCTCTCAACCTAAATATACTGTATATAATACAATACTATTACTTATTCAGAGTACAATAACTCTTAATCAA